CATTATATCACGCAGCTGCACGTAGTTGGCCACCTGATTAACCAGACCAAACCAGCTCCTGATGTCTGTGGTGGAGGTAGGCGTGGGGAAGTCCCTGATGGCCATCAGGTACTTTGGGAGGGGTTCGATGGTAGCATCGAAGACCCTGAAACCGGCAAATTGAAACTTAGATGGGTTCAACACGATGCCGGATCGGCCAACGTGCGTCTGGAAGTGGATTGTTCTCCACCAATGCGTGTTAAGGTCGGTGTCATAGTGGATGGTGTCATCCACGCATCTTTCCTTCCATTCAAAGTTGGAGAGGATCACATCAAAGCGGCGATTGTGGCCATCGCCAGACGACAGAAAGCCCTGTGGGGCTCTGGTGTAACGCCAGCAGCCGAAGGGAGTGATGAAGGTAGTGAGCATGGTAGGGGCATGCTGTGATACCCATTCCAGGCATCAGTGACAGTCTTCCAGGTCCCTTTCGGGATCCGGCGCACCAGGTGGAATGGGGACTCGGTTGCGAAGTCTCACGTTTGCAGAACTTGTTAAGAGGTGAGATGTCAACGGTCCTGCGGGGAGTTCCGTCGTGCTTCCGGGTGACCACCATCCGGTGGCACCAGGTCACTGGTTCGCCATATGGGACACGTTCAATGACGCCCAGGGACTCGTCCCGAAGTAGATCGTCATGCACCCTCTGTTGCCAATGCAAAGGCAAGGCCGCCACAGTGTGGCACGTCTTTGGCATTGCCGCCGGGTCAACATGTATTTCTATGGGTGGACCTTCCATGCATGGTAGTGGTCGATGGGGGCAAGTGTTGAATTTTGAAGATGCGTACCTGTCAAGCAGCCACGCCTTCATCTGGTGATTATTCTCTGGGGAGCATGGGAACGGCAGCTCCACGGGGCGCGGAGGCGGGGCGCTGTGTTGAGGACATGAGCAACAAGCCACATGATGGGAAGCCATGCCTCCGTCACAGACTTCTCCCAGGAATGTGACTTTGGTGAGCCCACCGCAACGGCTGGCGGCTTCAAGGTCACGGCCCACTACCAAGTTGCCCTCACCCGTGCAGGATGGAAACCCTCCAGGCAGAAGGCCGAGGCTGAGCAGGGAGACATACGAGAGGTACATCGCGTGAACTGACCTACTAACATATATCATTGTGCGGCAGGACACCACCTCACCACCAGGGGCAGCAGTGGATAGCTTGGCAAAGAAGACGCCCTCGATGTCAATGGGGGAGCTGTTCGCCGCTGATAGGTTTAGGACCACCGGGTGGAGGGCGCTGCGTACGAAACAGCATGCCAGAAACTCCTCCAGGGACCACAGGTCAGATTGAGCCCCCGTGTCTGCAATGGCGGACACGGTGGCCTCTGCAGCCGGGCATCTGGCACAGGCTCCACTAGTGAACCTCACCTTATCATCAATCTGGATGGAGATGGGCACTCGGGGGTGGTCCCTGAGCTTTGCACGCCGCCATTCGCCCTAGGAGAAGATGTGATGGCTGAGCCTGATCGGCGTGGGCCCATCACTGCAGCTGTGCGTCCCCAAGGTGCAGGGTCAGTTCCTGTCTCTGCGGCGCCCATTAGATCAGACGCCCGACGTGACGGATGAGACCTGAGATATCACGTCATAGCCTACGGCAGCCTGTTGTCCGTCCATGTGTGGCTGGTGCCGTGCCCGTCTCTTCCAGGCCCGGAAGCAGTCGGCACACGTTCGATGAGGCTTGGTGTTCCAACCCCGAGATCCCTCAGAAAAAACACAGAAAGACGCTTTACAATCAGGGCATATAGCCCTAGCAGACCTGTCTGGTGGGGCCGGAGAGGAAGCAGGCCCTGATGGTGGCATAGCTTGTCTGCACCTGAACGAGGACATACTGTAGCTGACAGGCTGGAGGAGGGGAGGGCGTTGCGAGCCATTTCTCTGTTCTCCACCAGTGCTATAATATTATTCACAGACTTACACAGAACATCATGAGTCCCCAACATGTCCCTTCATATGTCAGAGACATTAGTCCCATTAATCAGTACATCACGAATAATATGATCAGAATAGTCAACTGACTGCCCCGATCTGCACACAGCGTTGTTGGTGCAGGTTTCTGCCTTGCCACGCACCCTGGCGGCAAATGCACGAAAGGGCTCGTCACGATCCTGGTGTAGTTGAAGTAGTTCAGTCCTCAGAACGCATGTGGCAACCGGTATCATCACCAGAGAGCGCATGGCAGCCAGCAGAGTCTCAACCGGTCCAGTTGCAGCATCTGGGTTAGCCTTTAGCAAACTGTCCCCAAGTTCCGGATCGGCACACTGAAACAGCTGGAAGGGGGCCTGGGCATCACCTATGCCCGAGCCAGCACCGAAGAGGTCCCAGCAGCGTGTAAAAACGTTCCATTCCTCGATGGACATGCCGACATCCACTCTCGGTCAATCCAGCGCTGGGCCAGACAGGCTCGGGGCCCGAACGGGCACAGCGGGTTCGGTCCGGCTCTGATGGGCCAGGCCATGGTTTGCCAGCAACGCCACGGCGAGAGCCTCGGACACGTCGTCGGTGGCGAACACGCAGGCTGGAACGGAGCATCTGACAACCACCATGGCTCCTTCATGAAGAAATACACTCCTCGATGTCTAATGGCTTTATTGACAAGGATGAAGGAGCCCTGCGGCGACATACAAAGCTGAGTGAGCAGAAGCTAACGGCAGCGTGAAGCAGCAGCATGGGCTGAAGGCCAAAGCCAAGCAATGCGGTAAAATAGGTAAACAAATGCAGCGCGGCTTAGCATGCATACTGACAATGTGACCATTACATTAGCTTAACAAGCAGGTGAAGACTTACAGATACAAGTCAAACAGCAGCATGGATAGAAAGCAGTGTGATGGTTGAGCAGCAGCAATCCAAAATGACAAGCAGCAGTATGTACAGTCAGGGATAGTCCCATGTACGTGACTTCAGGCACATCCCTGAATGCACCTTTTTCTCTCGAGGTTTGATCACCACACACCCTAGTGGCCAGTGGTGACCTCTGCAGACAGGTCATCAGTCCATTACACAGTCAACACACATACACTCACTTCTAGGGCTCAGTCAGAAACACTATGACCGAACAGGCGCGGTTTGAGACAAAACCAGAGAAACCAGTCAGGGTCCTGGTGACAACCAACACGAGAGGACGATCTTTTGCTCTACACATTCTCTAAAAGGAAAAATACCTCCAGAATGTAAACAAAGGCTTTGGTCAAATTTAAACTTAACATGTCAGGACTGCACGGACTTCCCCATTGTGTCAAGGCTCTGGCTGTTCGTCGAAGGACTTCTTATTTTTTAAATGAATAAATATATACATAATAAACACAGTATTACATGAAGTATATAATTATTTGCAGAATAACATACATCAAAGCACGTAAAAGTATACCATGTTAATCTAAAATGTATTAAAACACACATTTTATATACACAATTACAAGCACATAAAACTAATAAGTCAAAGAGCAAGTCACCCCCTACAAGAAACTTACTTCACTCTCTCTTCATGTTTGAAAAATGCAACAAATGCTGTTGCCTAGCAGACCGAGAGGGCGAAGCCACTAACAAATACACCCACACACAGGCTCACAACGGCGTTGTGACATCATAATGTACCAGTTTACATCATAGCATACCTCTTAGCCAATAGCGGTGGCAGATTTCAATTCAAATACAGAGCAGAGTTTTTACCTAACGACGGCGCACTTTTGGGCAGAATATTTAAATTTGAACTAAGATGCACTGAAGTACCTAATTATTGACTACACGTGTCTGCAGCACAATTGGACACACGTTTATATAGTTTATCAGCAAAAAAATGTTGATTTGGGGGTGACTTGCTGTGACTAGCTACAATGTACAGCAAATGTATGAATGGCAGGATGCTACAAGCAGCTGTGAGATGTTTACTGTTGTCCTCTTCTTCTTTCTCCTACAACGAGGTTTTGTATGAGTGGTGTTTTCTGGTTCAGAACATCATTATTAAATAAACACAAACCAGCAAAAACCTGCACACTTCTATATGAGAAGCAAATGTTTTTAAAGCCTCACTCACCCGCGTCGTTCATTTCCTTGACAGAAAAGATGCGCGCTGATCCGGGAAAACTTTTCCGTAACTCATCCATCAAAGTCCAGTGATCCTATACGTTGGCTCTCAAATTTATGTTCAATTCAACCATCATCAAAAACTGGCAATGATTTTTATTTGTCTTGGTAGCTAACAAAGATACCAGCATGGCTCAGGACGCTAAAAGAATGACGCGCTATTCCAGTATTTGACTTTTAACTTAGATGATCTGTTCTTTGGGTGGTGGTGTTTGTGCCCGATGGCTGCCTCTTCAGAACATGCTGGCCTCTTCTCAGGTTCCTCTGGAGAATTTAAAAAGACTTAGATATGCCGATGATATAAACACACTTGTACAACGTAATCTTGGTACAATAGTACTTTATAAAGATGAGCATGGAGCCCCAGAGCACCACCTGGTGGGGCACTTCTCCACTGGCCCCAAATACTCACATGTTACAGGTAGGTAACAGGTACGTAGGTTATGCTAGATTTTCAGGACCTTTGACTGATTGATTTGGACCTTAGAGTATTGGGTTTGAAGAGCGCTGATTTTGGTCTGATTGCAGTTATTGTTTAATGGACAAAAAATATATATAATAATACATTAAATAGTTCTTACAGTAAAAACAGAAAGTTTAGTGATAAGATTTTTAGAAAAACATGTTACAGAATACTTGATTATAAGATCCATCACAACTATTTTAAACCCAACACCTGAGCACTGTCACTAGTCCACAATAGTTCACATCTACTTTAACAAGAGGCTGTGTCTCAGTAGGCTTGCAAAGTCTTGACCAGAGCATGTGTTTGATCTGAAAACCCATTTAATGCTGAAGTCAACATGAAGGTAGTCCCATTGTTTGGTGCTAAGCTGTCCATTTTGGCTGTTTTCTGGTATAAAATAACTTTGCCAGACTTTGTGCCTCACTGGTTTGAAGTTTTATTGCTCATTAATTGTGAGAAGGCTTTACCATGTTTATTACATGTCTGTGGCAGTGTTTGCGTGTCCAGCCGGGTTTGACCACTGTGAGTTTTTTACATCATCTAACGGGTGTGGGATTTTCTGTGGTTATAAACAAAGAAAAAGAACCACAATAAACAGTCTATTTTCAGACTGGCTGGTGCTTTATGTGTGCAGGGTTGCTGTTCAACGTGGACCCAGCAGTTCAACCCTTCTCATCCAACAGAAGGTCTCTGAAAGCACTTCCACTCATGTTCATGTTCCACTGTGTGGAAAGAATGCACATTTCTCTGTACTTAATGGCAAAATTGGGGTGAGGGATAATGTGAAAGATTTCTTAAAAAGTCTTGGAAATTTGGACTGGTTCCATCCCAGTTCATCCCCCCTTCCTCACCCCCGTTCTCCATCCTGTCTGGTTTTTCAGAAATGTGTTTCTCGTTGTCTGTCCCGCCACTTAAAACTCTCAATGTGCCTGGTAGGCATTTTTCTTTGTGTGTGTGTGTGTGTGTGTGTGTGTGTGTGTGTGTGTTTCTCAACAATGCTTGTGTTCCCATAGTGGTACTGAACTTTAATCACAGTCCAAACGAGAAAAACATACAAGAGCATTTTCCATATGAGCCAGCACACTTTGAGAATGATTGTCCTTTTTACAGCGGAGGAAAGAGCTCCTATTTTCCATAGGATCATTCACCGCTCCCTCAGGACACCTGGTCCTTTTCACTGTTATGATAACTTAATTACACACATATATTATACTTTCTGGTCATCTGCACTTGGACAGAATAATATTACATGCAGTATGAAATTTTGTTTTAGGGATCTAAAATAAAAGCACCACTGTTTTAGTGCATTAAGGTACATCAACAGAGGTGCTTTAAGCTTGGTTTATGCTTGACACGTCCGCGAGGTTCGCACGGCTCCGCGCGGCGAAATTGCGTCATTTTAACAACCACGCGCCTCCGCACGGCCCAAACTTTCCGCACCGCGCACCTAGGAAATTTTCTAACCACGCGGACGGTCGGACGCGGAAAAACATGGCGGACTGGCAAGAACTAGTATGGCAGAGGTTCGTAAATACAGACATTTGTATGATTCAGCTCTCAGAGATCACCGTGATCAACATGTTGTTAATAATTCTTGGAGAGAAATAGCTCGCACTGTCGGAAAAAACGAGCACGCTGTTAGAAAATGCTGGAATGCCATGTTGTAAACAACAGTAATTTCTACTTCTACTATGGTGTAGTGTTGGATGCATGCCGTAGAGCTCCCTGCTGCCCCCTACAGTTTGGGAGAATATTGGCTCACCGCAGAGACAAGCCGTATGAACCGTAAACGCTGCAAGTTGTGAAGCTCGTTCCATCCGTGAGCCGCATCACCAAGCGGAAAGTAAATGCATCAAGCATAAACCAAGCCTTAGCTTTTTTTTTTGGGGGGGGGGGGGGGGGGGGGGTCATGAAGGTAAATGAGGTGTTTTGCAGCTCAAGCACCTGCAGCAGAGTAAATATCAAATGCGCACCATCAATCATAAATATAGAACCAAACCATGCATGTGTCTAAAGACTGATCAAGCGTCTCCGGCTTCAGTTGTTAGCCATAAAATCCCGTTGAGGGGAGCAGCCATGTTGTATTTGTGGACCAGGGTCTGAATGGGTTCTGGATCATGTCTGTGGTGCATTTCTCTAATCTACCAACCACTCAAATAGGTCTGACACGTCACATTCATCCTCTCACAGTATGCAGTCTACACCCCAAGTGTGTGTGTGGGTGGATGAATAGGGGGATGTCTTGCTCAAGGACACTTCAACAGCTAGTGAGGAAAATAAAACTGACTGGCAGGTGCCCGCTCTGATCCATGTGTTCACCGAGGATGTGAGTCAGAAGATAAGGGCTGAAAGTCCCACCTACTAACCTGCACACACTCCATGTGTTTTAAAATTTACAGCTGAACGTGTAATCAAAACACGCCTGGTGTACGCTTGCGCCCTTCATTTACTCGTTCCAGTCCAGGGGTGCAAGTGCATAGGATGTCCCAATCCTCAAGTGTGGAAGTTGACCACGCCCCTTTTGTACCCTTTACCCGCACTTGCCCAAGTCTGCATTTATGCTGACTTAGGCAAAGGGTATTACCCACAATCCATAGCTGTGCGGGAATTTTAAAAAGCAAATTGCAGGTTACTTTTTTTCTAATTCATATAAAATGCTCAAAAAATACTATTTGAAATGCTTATTGTGGATATTTCGTTGTAAATACATAACAACAGAGTTTTTCTAGTAAAAAGTGTCTTTTTTCAGCAAAACTTCTAAAAAGGCTTTTTTTTTCTAAATCTGAACCTCTGACGTAACCAAAGGGAGTTAGAAGCTCAGCGCTGCCTCAGCTCAGTGTGGAGAGTGGCTAGTTTTAGGGTAGAGAGGTCATGTGATCCAGTCAGTGTGTGTGTTTACTAGTGTTGGATTGTGTTCCTTTTGATAAACTATTGTTTGTGAAGGCTGTACCAACTCCAGCCTGTCTGGACATCGAGTCCACGGGTTTCCAGATAAGAGAAACAACGCCTCTATCTCCGTGCCTGAGGGCGTTTTGTGCAGCTGAAAAGACGGACTTCTGTAGCCCACATCGGTCGGTACCGGGACAGGGAGGTCTGCGCTGGACTCCCTGTGACGGGGTTTAAAAAATTAAATGTGGATTTCTGAAACTCAGATCACCATCAGAACTGACCACCAGAAGAGATTCGCGGCTCAGCGGGTCAGCTGGTTTCCAGGTTCCGAACCGGATCAGAACCGCCGCCTGGACTACCAGAAGAGGATGCGCGGCTTTTAAAAATACCAGCTCGACTGGCTCGCTGGTGTCTAGGTCGGATCCATCTCACAGAAGCCCGCATGAGCTCCAGAACCGGATGACAGGGATCTCTCTCCCTCTCACTAAGAGCTAAACTACGTTACATGAACGGATATTAACGAGTATGAGACAGCTGACAGACGCTCATTAGTATTAATATTATATTAACAAACCGATACTATTTTAACTGTGTGGTACACGATAGTAATCTGTACAACACTGTGATGTTAGCACACGCGTTTAAGCTAGCATCGTTAACTCACCTGCTGCTCCCCCGCTGCTTCTCCTCAATCTCTCTGATTTGGCCGATGGTTTCTCCCTCTGGTTTGTCTCTGCTCTCTGGGGCGAGCAGCAAACTCATAACTTTATGGTTTTGGTCCATCAGAAGTCAAATTATAATCATTTAAAGTTTCCTCTGTGTCACAGCCGCATTAGAATCCGTATTTTTCTCTGGATTAAACTTGTAGAAGCCATTTATTTTGTGGGTTGGGCTTTCATCTGGCTTTGTACGAACAGTTGAACTGAAGACTAAGACTGGGGTTCTAGAAAGACCCATATCAAAAATCTTTCTACTTCAAGAAGCTCCATAAGTTTTTGTAATTGTGTATTCTATCACAATTAGGGGCCGGAGATGTAGGAGCCATTTATTTTGTGGGTTGGGCTTTCATCTGTGGTGGTGGTGGTGTTGGGTGCGTCACATGTGATTTAAGTGGGTCCTCAGGTGTTTCGGGAGAGATGATTACGCATGGGTGGCGGGATGAGCAAACGTTTTTACCGCTCGCGACACCATGGCACAATATACTTCCTTTTTGTGATGATCAACTGGGAGCACTACTATCCTTGGAACCGCATCATGTAAAACACCAGCTAATGCTTGTAAAAGAAAATAAACAAGACTAACGCACAGACAAAAGGAGGTTTGATTTATGAACAGAAGCGCGTCAGAAGCCGCCTCCGCCCTCACCCAGCTGGCTGACAACAGGAAGTGTCAGCACAAAACTAATAGGACTCCTTCAGCTGACGTCACTTGGTTTGGACAAAAAAAACGTTCTCACAAAAATGACTAAAAGCCTAAATAATTTATGTTTCTGTTAAAAAATGTTTACAACGAGTTTCTATTATGTTTCTCTAAACATTGGTCCATGGGAGTCTCTAACCTGCAATTAGCTCTTTAAGAAGGCAGCACAATGGCTTATGTGCCTTTACTGAAAATATGCATTTTCAAACAAAAGAAGTTCCCTTTAAGATGGTTAATGACATGTATTCATGCTCTGAATGTCTTAGACTAAGATTTAATGTGAACAGCAATGAATGTAAATTTTGTCAATTGTTTGTTTTTGAGTCAGCGACCAGAATCCCAGCATGTGCTGTGATCGATGATACAATGGTCCCTGTCCCAATTCGGCAGTTATTTGCACACTTGCGCGCACTACACACTCGAAGCCTTACTGCACGCTGCTTCCAAGTGCACTTCACAGTAGACCATAGGGCACAGTGCAATTATCGGGATTGGGCCTGGGCATGGCTGTCACCGGACCTGGATTCACGGCGTTACATTTGAGCTCTAAAAGTAGGCGGAGACATTTGTTTTCTCTTCATACACATCAATGGTTTGCTGACATTTATTATGGTGAGGTAGCTGCTTTTGGTTCTGAGATATTTGCGCCATTGAGGTTTTGTGGCCTCTCTTTGTTAGGTCATTTAGACAGATTCATGTCCCTAAACTCTTTTACGTGTGTCTGTTACTGATGGTTGACCACATTCCACTGGTTAAGAACTTCAATCCAGGATTGGCAGCTGGATGATGGCAGCCTCAGTCTATAGGCCTGATCATGATACGGACAGACTTCATGGAGTAAAAACCGCCACCGTAGTCCGCCCAGAAGATCCCGTCTTGAAATTTGCTGCGGTAGACCCCTCCAGTGTACCAGACACCATTAAGATTTGCTTGGCCACAAGCATTGTACCACCAGCCTCCTTTATGGAAATGGGCACAGTTACCTGCAAGTGGGAAGAAGGAAGATTGGACCTCAGTGATCAAACTTATTAGAATATTTTAATGTTCAGTCTTTGCAGGAAAAAATCTGCGTACTAGTCCATGTGAAGAGGAGGAAGATAATGTTGTCAAAGGTTAGTAACAATTTAAAAAAGGCTACAAAAGGTTTATCTACATTAGTTTGATAATCTTCTTCTCATCTTGTGAGTCTGACGTTCTCACACCATGAAAGAAAATCCAGCAATGACCTTGCTTCTGAGTGGGTGAAAGCTATTTATTTTCTAAAGGAAGTAAATGTCTTTCTTCAGGCTGTTTGGGATTCTGGGTCTTTAACAATCAGCTGGGATGCTACGTTCAGGGACTGTCTGGAAGTCGGAGACCTCCTGAAGCAGAACTTTACTGTCCTTTTGCAGCATTACAGAATAGTTTGGTCTCCAGAAGGCCTGAAGAGCAAAAACAATAAAATAAAATAAAAAATAAAAAGTCATAAAAAATCTTTAAAGATTTTCTATGTCTGACCAAAATACAATTTTATCTTGACTTTAAAATTTACAAGCAAATAAAGAAAGTGTTTTTGTAGAGAAACAGAAAAAAATCATTTTGCTGAGCCCCAAAGGTCAAGGATACAAAAACGACCCATGATCTGTAAAATACTCTCCTTCTTAACTTCACTGAGAAACTTTTTTTTACTTCTTTTTTTCTTATACGACTGGTTACTCTGAGTTTCACAAGCTGGTGAAACATAAAAATGGTCTTCTACTGCTGTTTCCTGCATTAGCCACTGATAAAAAATAGATGGTGAAACGCTCGGATTAGAAAAACCTGTCAGATCTACGTCACATTGAAATCATCACTCATTAATTCATAAATTAGCATTCAAGGTGGACCCATCTTGGCTTGTGACAGGGAAGGCTGTTGTTGGTTGAGCATCCAGGAAACAGCAGAGGACGTCTCAAGTTGTAGAAGCTAACCATTAGCATTAGCAACTCCACCACACAGCAGAACTACTTCAGGCTTGTGCTATTTGTGGAGATAAAAAATCAGCATTGCAGAGCAAACAGAGTCAGTGGTGGAGACATGTTGCTGTTAGCCAATCACAAGCAAGATGTGCGAATATCAGGAAATAAGACTATAAATCCTGCTGTGTTCTGCTTCCCACTAACATGTACTTCCTGAAACAGGAGCGCCAGAAATTGATTCACAAGGCTAGAGATCACTGCATGTGTGTTGAAAAAACAAGTGAACTTGGTCTTTAACATTTAAGAAGCTCTGAAAAGCATCTGAAAAGATGTTTTTTTTTTTTTTTGTGACAGTTCAATACATTTCTTGTCTCCTAATATTTTGGGATATGTGTTAGCTTGGCTGCGATGGACTGGCTCTCTGTCCAGGGTGTACCCCGCCTGATTGCCTATTGACCAATGGAGATAGGCACCCCCCCCCACCCCCACCCCCACAACCCTACGTGGACAGGCGGGTTCAGTAAATGGATGGATGGATGGACGTTAGCTTGGGACATCTCCAGGAAAAGGTTCTGTTTTATTCACCTTTCAAGGATTCCATATGCTTACCCACCTGAGAAAGCGTCTTTGTCTCGATCCAGAGTGGTGAACTGTTTTCCGTTGTGGCTGCTGAGGGAGTCTCCAGCGTTGCCTTGGTAGGTGCCCAGCCTCAGCCGGTAGCTCTCGCTCTCTGGCTCCAGATGGAAGCTGCTGTACTGCGCGTACACCTTCTTATCCATCCAGTCCTCCATCTCCACCAAAAGCTTGTAGTCTCCCTGCCTTCCTAAGTTGTAGATGGCTTCCAGGCCGAGCCAGTATTCCCCGTCTATGTTGCCAAAGCCACTCTGGATCAAAAGAAAATTAAAGGGAAGGTTTCAGTTAGATCACAGGAAATAATGGCTGTTGTTTATCATGTGATCTCCTTGAGGAGTTTAGAAACATGGGCATTATTTAGGAACCTAAAACCTCTTTTTAAAGAGTCTGTGGGATTGCCAGGAGAACAAATGAGAAAGGTCTTCTGGATGGTGGTTTGGTCATGCTTCTGTAATTCAGGAAAACTTCAAAAACAAAACAACAGTTGCAAAAGGCTTCCACCAAACCCTGTAGAACACTCAGCTGTAAAGTTCATGTCAGAAAATCAACATCTACCTTCAGAAGGTTGTGCCTGAAAGTCCAGAGATCTGGCTGGGGGAACCCTGAGCCGTCGGCCTCGGCTATACGAGCTTTCAGAATACTTACTAATGTGGATGAGATGATTGAGCCACGGATGATGAATGACAGGATTTTGGTGCTTCTCTGGTGGTGTATGTTTGTCTATGATGGCCTCAAAATCAGCAATGAACAGATCCTTTATATTTTCTCATGTCCAAGGCTGCGCAGACCAAGTGGAACACTGGATGTCTGAAGCGGTGAGCTCTTCCATCTCACTGGAACTTGATGAGACAACTCTACATGGTGTGGTGCAGTAAGCCAATCAAGCATCTATCTTGGATGGATCACAGCAGATGTGGTGTGGAGAGCAATGTGTGCTTTATTAAAGTGTGGAGCATGACGTCTTAGAAGGACTTCTTATATTTCACAATGGAAATCACAAAGTGTTGGATTTTACAGTAAGAGAAACACGAGAATTCAAGCCACAAAAAAAAATCGTCTCAGACCCCAGATGGTTCCTCCAGAATGGTCAAATACCGACCCTGCTGTTGTTTTTGGAGCGTTCGTAGAAGAAGAAAGAGGAAAAATGAGACAAGCAGGGCAGAGGAAGTGCAGTTGTCATCACCTTGTAGTTATCCCAGTTTCTGAAGAAGTTAACTGATCCGTCTCTTCTGCTCTGGATGACGGTCCAACCCCCGTTGTCAATGTCCTGTTCACACCAGGCCTGCACTGGCCTCTCCGCTTCATCCGGTCGGATCAGGTACATGCCGCTGGCGCTGTGTCCCACCTCCTGAGCCTCCAGACAGTCTCTGAAGGGACCTGAAAGGAAACATTTGAAAGGGTGGAGGTGGTCAAAACATGGTCCACTTGGACAGAAACTAATAAAATACGGTAGTTAGTTATCAATAGTAATTTTTTCACTATGACACCATAAAATTTCAGAAAAGTAATTTAAGATTTTAAACCTGGAATATTCCATGGTTTATTTTTAAAAAACATAAACCAAATTTAAAATCAAAGACTTGCGTTCTTTGATGGTAGATCCTCTAGCGTTTGTTATGCCAGAGTTTTAAGCTTTTAAAGGTTATTTACAGGTGCTGGCCAGTAAATTAGAATATCATCAAAAGGTTGAAAATATTTCAGTAATTCCATTCAAAACGTGAAACTTGTACATTATATTCATGCAATGCACACAGACCAATGTATTTCCGATGTTTATTACGTTTAATTTTGATATTTATAGGTGACAACCAATGAAAACATCAAATCTGGTATCTCAGAAAATTAGAATATTCTAAAGGCCAATGAAAAAAATGTTTGTTTCTCTAATGTTGGCCAACTGAAAAGAATGAACATGAAAAGAATGTGCATGTATAGCACTCAATACTTAGTCGGGGCTCCTTTTGCCTCAATAACTGCAGTAATGCGGCGTGGCATGGACTCGATCAGTCTGTGGCACTGCTCAGGTGTTATGAGAGCCCAGGTTGCTCTGATAGTCGTCTTCAGCTCCTCTGCATTGTTGGGTCTAGCGTATTGCATCCTCCGCTTCACAATACCCCATAGATTTTCTATGGGGTTAAGGTCAGGCGAGTTTGCTGGCCAATCAAGGACAGGGATACCATGGTCCTTGAACCAGGTGCTGGTGGTTTTGGCACTGTGTGCAGGTGCCAAGTCCTGTTGAAAGGTGAAGTCTGCATCCCCATAAAGTTGGTCAGCAGCAGGAAGCATGAAGTGCTCTAAAACTTCCTGGTAGACGGCTGCATTGACCCTGGACCTCAGGAAACAGAGTGGGCCAACACCGGCAGATGACATGGCACCCCACACCATCACTGACGGTGGAAACTTTACACTGGACCTCATGCAACGTGGATTCTGTGCTTCTCCGCTCTTCCTCCAGACTCTGGGTCCTTGATTTCCAAAGGAAATGCAGAACTTGCTTTCATCAGAAAACATAACTTTGGACCACTCAGCATCAGTCCAGTCCTTTTTGTCCTTGGCCCAGGCGAGACGCTTCTTGCGCTGTTTCTTGTTCAAGAGTGGCTTGACACACGGAATGCGACACCTGAATCCCATGTCTTTCATGAGTCTCCTCGTGGTGGTTCTTGAAGCGCTGACTCCAGCTGCAGTCCACTCTTTGTGGATCTCCCCCACATTTTTGAATGGGTTTGTCGTCACAATTCTCTGCAGGGTGCGGTTATCCCTAGAGCTTGTACACTTTTTTCTACCACATTTTTTCCGTCCCTTCGCCTGTCTGTTAATGTGCTTGGACACAGAGCTCTGCGAACAGCCAGCTTCTTTAGCAATCACCTTTTGTGTCTTGCCCTCCTTGTGCAAGGTGTCAATGATTGTCTTTTGGACAGCTGTTAAGTCAGAAGTCTTCCCCATGATTGTGGTGCCTTCAAAACAAGACTGAGGGACCTTTTAAAGGCCTTTGCAGGTGTTTTGAGTAAATCAGCTGATTAGAGTGGCAGCAGGTGTCTTCTATATTCAGCCTTTTCAGAATATTCTAATTTTTTGAGATACCAAATTTGGAGTTTCCATTAGTTGTCACTTATGAATATCAAATTTAAATGTAATAAACATCGGAAATACATTGGTCTGTGTGCATTGCATGAATATAATGTACAAGTTTCACGTTTTGAATGGAATTACTGAAATATTTTCAACCTTTTGATGATATTCTAATTTACTGGCCAGCACCTGTATATGATAGAGATATCTCTGTTTGGATTATTCTTGAAATTTATAAGTCGCTAATATTATCTCCTGCACAGAAAATAGTGGTATCATTGGCAAACAAAAAAAAATATCAGTGTATTTGTTACATTACTCAAATCATTAATATATAATTAAAATAATTTTGGACCCAACACAGACCCCTGTGGTACTCCACAAACAATGTCCAACCATGAAGATGAACATTCTCCAAATTTCACAATTTACATTGTTTGTATTTGCCATTTTGGTATTTTAAGTTGCATGATTTGTGTTATTGTTGACATGCTTATTTTGTGTTTTGAATGGTTTTTCCCTTTGTGGTACCTCCCAGAGACACTAACTGGAACAAATGGGAAAAGGTGTGGAATGCCCACAGGTGCAATGGACTCAAAACGAGGTATAAAAGGAACTGAGGTAAGAGACCAGGAGAGCAGCAGACACCAGACATGCATGAGGTCTGAGAACAAGAGACGCACCCTGGACAGTGACGTCTCTGTCAAGGACATGAACGCCCGTCCACCCTGGAATGCAGATCTGTGCCTGGAGCACCATCCCGGGATGTGGACAAGCGGCCAAGTGTGGAGGATTGTGGGATGCCCTCTCCTCCCCCATGTGAGTGGCGCAATTTTGGTGCTGGTGCCTCTGCGTCTTGTTAGGGCCTTGGGCCAAGGAGGACGTGACGTGTCCAAGGAGCGGAGCTGTGCCAGGGGGCTGCGGATAGACTGACGGTGTGCGCCACAGCCAGCGGGCGAGGAGACGACGCTGGAGCCATGGCGGCAGGTTGCTGGAGGTCGACTTTGTGCCTGACAGCCAAAGGACAAGGTGGAGCAGACTGGGTCCCAGCTACGTCGGTCAACACTGTCCGCTGGAGCCAAGAGGTGGCTCCTTGTACTAGACACCGTCCCGCCACTAGTGATGAATAGGATGTTTTAGACAGTTTTTAGGACTGCTTTTATGTTTTATTTTTTTACTCCTTCAGCCTCTAAAGATTTGAACTTTTAGCATTGTCTGTGCTCCTCCAAATAAATGATCTATAGTGTTCAGAGGTTCCTCTGCTTGTTCTTTGGACCATGAGTCGCTTGTTTTCCCCCTTGTAATCGGAACCTGCAGCTGTGGACGGGCTGCTGTGCCGCGGGGTGACATAATCTCCACATTTAACGTTCCTTCTTTCTTCTTGGAAGAAGGATGCAAAGGATGCGAAACTCGAATAACTCAGTCATTTTTCTTCTCCTCTTCTCCGTCAGGTTCGATGACGTCAATTTTGTGAGACGAGCATTTATAGTCTGCTACATCTTTTCATACAAACCTAAAATATCTTTAGCCATCTCTCAAAAAAAAGCATATCAAAACTCAAGCTTATGGCTAACTGAGTTAACTGAAGCTAACAGAGGTTTGCAGGCTCTTTTAGCTTCATGCTAGTTGCTTAATGTTTTTCTGTTGCCCACAAATCTCTGTTAGCTCGGTTAGCCCAGTTAGCTTGTAGCCAATGAGATGTTTAACATGGATAAGATGGTGATCAGAACTGCCCATTGGGCTTGCAGCACAAAAATAAACAATCAGCGATGAACAAGAATCTACAAGAATATAGCAAGCTATCACTGTGTCAACCCGATGAGGAAATATAAAATCAACATTGTTTTACTGAACAATCACACAATAATAAATCACAGTGCATTTAGTGCCAACCACAGCCTTAAGACAGGTGTTGAAAATGCCCAAATCCATACTTATGAGAGCACCTGTGTACGTACACGCACTTGTATATGTAAGGTTTCTCAATAGAAACGTCCAATAGAGAGTGTGAGGGGCCACAGATGGGGAGGACTGGCTGGTTGGCCTAAGCCCTCCAGGGAGCCAGCTTCCCCCACTGACTCCAATAGGCACTTCCGTTCCCAAAATGACACCCAGGGCATGGAGACCCCAGCCCATCTAGCCAGGGCCCAAAGCAGCAGCATCACAGAGCCCCACAGAGTCTGAGAGCACCAACCCAGCCCCACCCCAGCAGACTATCTACTCTCATCCCTGAATTTGTACAACTTCCAGAATTTTTTTGACATAAGACATCCAGGTAAGGTTGGGTCCTCCCCCTCCTGGAAATCCCCCTCCCCCATGATGGGACAGAGTTGTTATTATTTCAGAGGAGCCAAGGTCCACCTGAAGCCCCTGAGCATGGGCCAGGCGCGTGTTCCCACCTTCTTCCCGACAGCATACAAGTCAGGACCCAATCCCCAAAACCCCGCCCAGATGCTCACATGGGGCTGACCGCCCCCACACCCCGAGTCAATGTTCATTTTCTTCCGAGGCATCTGTTCTACGTTTGTTAGCTGTTTAGCTAGCTGAGCAAGGATACATGGAAGGTGTTTGGTCTTGGTCAAAAATTCCCCAGAATACAGCGCAGCATTTTCAAAAGGATGGCACATCAGGAGCCAGCAGCTACTTCGAGGGAAAATTTCCAGTTTAAGTAAACTAATTGTAGCTATCGGGCTGATATCTAACAGGTTTTTTTTTTAGATTCAAAGCAGTTATTGATGGTTGGTTAGTTGCTTAGTAGTTGTAGCTCGGTGGCTAGTAGGTAGTAACTCGCTTACATATTTAATTTAAACAATATATACACAATTAAAAAGTAAATGGCTCAATGTATATTTATGTTGAAACTTATACATATAAAATATAACGTAACCTCACGTGTCACATGAGGTGACGTGATGCATGGTCACGTGATGTGAGGCTGTTCCATTTAATCGTTTCCTTTGATCAAGGAAGGACAGTGTCCTTGTATGGAAGGCGCCTGGCCTTGCAAGACATCTCCTTGCAAGGCCAGGCGCCTTGATGTTGAGAAACACCCCATACCTCCACTCCTGGAACTTTAAGTTCAAGACATTGGTTTTCTAAGATCCGTGAGCTGTGGCAGCCATCTTTAATTGGATTGATGCCAATATTTAGTCTATTGTAGGTGTACAACAAATGAAACCTCTTCGGAAGTTTAATTCAAATCTGGCCAGTAGTCTGTGAGGTACGTAGCTAACCAACACACAGTCAGAAGCAAAGAGCATTTTATCTTTTTGAGTTTCCAGAGAAGTCACTAATGAGAAAAGACTTTTGCTCGGGCAGCCCAAGCAGATAAGAGCGTAGGGAGCTTACTGGAAGGCCAAGTAACTCCTACTCAATTTTGACACAGAGCAACAGTACGATGTTTTAAATCAAATGGAAGCATTTGTACTCTGTTTGCTTTGTTATGCCAGCCTTGGTTTTACATCTGCGCTAGTGGAACAGATCATTTCCTTCCAGCTCTCCCAAAATCCTTCACACCTTATTTTTCTTGGGAGAAGAGAGTCTTAAGTGTGTCAGGAATTGTGTTGGTAAGTAGAACTGAGGTGGTCATGGGTTCCTCACTCCAGGTTCCCTGTCTGAATTCAGACGTAACGTTTGTATTTCCATCCTGGTTTGTGTTCCATCTGTTGAGCGTGGAGAAGCGTTCCAGCTGATTTAGCAAATCTTTAACCTTTAGAATGAGGCCACTGGCCCATCTGTAGCTGCATTCAGAGTCTGTGAGTGTTGTTATGGTTGGCTCACAAAGTCAAGGCTGCTCAGCATTTGGCCATGACTGTGGTGGTTTTGACTGTGCCACCGAATGAAGATATGAATAAATACAAAAAAGATTCACTGATAGATTCCTGGATCCGTTGCACGTTCTCTAGAGGCATCAACTATCAAGTAATCTGGTAGAATATCAACACATGGCCACATTTAGCTTCAAATTGTCATTTTAAGTCATTATTGAGAATGAAACGTAGATGTATAAAGTTTTAGCTTTCAGAACACAGATTAAACATTTGTTCAAATGTTCCTGTAGATTTTCTTGTGTGTTAGTTCACAATATTAGTAAAACATTTTCTCTTGACCCACCTTCTGTACTGAAGTTCCTCTCAGGAGACTTCTGGACCTCTAGAGTGCTGCTTGTGGGTGATGGACCAGAGCGAGAGCCCCTTTCCAAGGCAAACCCTCGAGTGTTGCGACTCTGGATCTCATTGGTGAAACGTGGCACACTGACTGGAATGTTCTCTGGCACCACCTGCACCAGCGGAGGTCCGTGGGGTGACTGCTCGTGCCGATGACTGTGTAGCTGCATGCAGCGCTCCTCCAGGGCTCCAATCAGCACAGACTGGTTGTTCACCATTGCAGACAGGGCTGAGTATTTGGCCTCCAGCTCCCTGTACCGAGATGCCAGGCGCAATGATTCAGCGGTGGCGTTAAGGATGCGTGTCTCCAGCTGAGCCAGCTCCAGTGAATTATCCCTCTTCCTGATTATCTCATGGAGCAGCTGCATGTAAAGCTGGGTCACCCTGGAGTTCATGTTTCTGCTCTCTTTTCTCAACAGCTTCATCTCATTCACCAAATTGCCATCCACATCCACCACTAGCTTCAAAGTTTCCATCTCCCGACGCTGCCTTGACAAAAGATCACGAACCGAGGCCACATCCAGGCGCGTCACCCGATCCTTGTCAGTGGAATAGCCTTGGGCAGCACAGATGGGGCCTGTGATCTTTTGCTCAGGAACCAGGAATGTGTAGGAGCATTTCTTATTTTCATCTTTGGCCTCTGGAGCTCTTCGTATCCGAGAGAAGATGGGGTTCTTGGTCAAGGCTTGACTGCTGCTCCAGAGAGACAAGCAAAACAACACGAAAAGGCTCCACATGTCCAGTCCCATGACTGCTCCTCTCGCTGTCATCCAACAAGGGCTCGATCTGTAGAAGGAAAGAGGGTGAACCTTTTTAACTTTTTACCAGATCTGTGCAGCTATAGTGTGAACGTCATTCTCATGTGGATGTTTAGAGGAGCACTCAAAAGAAAATATTTTAACTCTGAGCACATACCAGTCCTGCTTCATTCTGAGGTGGGACAGCTAGTTTTCAAATATCTGGTGAAGAGAAGCAGACGGTGACACTTGTGCAGTCCTTCACTGCAGAGCAGACTGCCCTGCCCTTGGCTGGAGCTGCCTTCGGCAGTGGAGTTTTTCCACCCAAGTCCCACAAACATGTCACCCCGACTCGTTCTTTCTGTATGGATCCTCTGTTATTAACGCCCTTACCACGTCTATATCACATGTCCCAGGGTGTTTAAGTGTTGATGTCTGTTTTTAATATTTTTGTGGATTTAATGGCTGAAAAGGCATTAGATTCCACCCGAACCTTTCAGCATACCTGCCCTGGCTAACGTGGAGCTCTGGAAAGTAATCCTCTGACAGTCTGGAAAAAGATTACTTTAAAAGAAATATATTCCACTGAACACGGAGTTGGTGTGACTGCAGAAATATGATCTAACGAGCATCCAGTGGCAGTCTTGGATGGATTTATGAGGTGTGGAAATGTTTTTTAGCCTGTCAGGAGAAACTGCAACAGTCAGCAAGTGCTTGTAATTTGGGTTCATTACCTCATTTTAATTTCCTCGGTTCTGCAAACATAACAACGAGATAAATGTGTGTGTGTGTGTTAGCAACAGGAGAGTGGATACCTTTGACTAACATCTGTTTCAGTAACGAAATCGTTTCATTTGATCTTACTGGTTTTGACGGCGGCGTCCCCACCTTCCATGCCCAGTAGCATGGTCCAGCCCTGGACACGGATCTGTGACGGTGAACCGAGCTCGAGCCGAGCTGGTTCCAATCAGAGGGGGGGTGTGACAGTTTTTACTCTTCTAACAGGTACACTGATGATCCATGAAATACATCAGAGAAGGATTCGATCAGAACATCTAAAACATGAAATGATCTCAAGACAAAGACAGTATGTGGCCTCTTTCTGTCCACAGGTACAGACTCGTACCCCCGGAGATCGGCCCAAACTGCTGCACTTGCGGAACAAAACCCTCATTGTATCATTTGTCAAAGAAATAGCATGACTCAAGTTTATATTTTTTTGTGTTTTCACCAAGTTTTTATTGATATTTAGCGTCTGAGCCAACACAAGTTTTTAATAAGTGTGTTTTGCAACAACACGGCTGCCTGGAAGCCTGTGTGTTTGGGTTTCGCCATACGGAACGAGCTGTGCGAGCCCGTCGTGAATCATAAACGATATGAGGGCACAGGAAAAAGCACTTAGGAGGAAAAGGAGCCATGTGTCAGAGCTCAGCAACAGCTCGGCCCTGTCACACGCGTATTATTAGTCGTAGTGCTCTTCCTCTGTCTTTATGAAACCACAGGTCATCTCGCCTCAGAAGTTTGAGTAGAGGTCTGAAGGAACTGGCACGCCTGCACGTCTCCAACCACACAATCTGAATCTGTCAGGCCTGGCTGGAGGGACGGTGTTTACTTAGAGGCTCCTGAGCCGGGACTGTAAATCTCATCAGCTCTTATTCCCACTAGATTCTCTCTCCTTCACACCATTATGGTCTTCATCGGGTTTGCCTCACAGCAGTCCTGTCATGATGACTAACCAACAGGATGTTATTGTTCCTGACCTGATCAGTTGCCATTTGTCATAAAAATGAGGTCTTCACAACCAGAAAAGTTACACTTTGCTGAGGCTGGGTTTTTCCACCTCAGACAAAATCTGCTTTAACTGGAGCCACTGGGATGTAGCCGGGGGCTGGCAAGGGTTCGAGCTCCATCAAAAACCTCCAAACAAGAATAGCAAAGAACCTGAATCCATCAACACGTGTGAGCCCATCAGTACAAGTGTGCTTGCCTTGACTTTTATCAGTGAGGACTTTCCTAAAGAGAACAATGGGATTTTGGTGGAACCAGTAAGAAAGCTCCGCCCCCTTTGGAGCTCAGGTGGACATCAGAACAGAAACGTCCTTCAGAGCTTTATCAAGTCACAGAGAGTTGAGCTTTGCTTGCCTGTACTGGCGTTTTGTGTCTTTGATGGTTTTTAAATAAGCTGTTCAAGGTTGTTGTTTTTTTCATTTTTGAAGAATTACCAGAAATAATAATTCCTGAAATTTACTTATAACAAAACTTTTTAGCCCCACGTGATTCAAAGTACATGAATACATTTTACATCAAAACATAACAAATTTTTATCTTCTTCCCCCTGCTGAGTCCCTCTCTCTGCTGCAGAACTGAGGGTCTTTTCTCAGATGTTAGACGCTGGTGTGTGGTTACCATGGAAACCTTAGTGAGTCATTGTCGGCAGCTTTAACATTTTCATCTCTTGGCACTTTTTTTTTTTACACAAGATGTGTGATAAACTTGAACAGAGTAGCCTAACAGCTGCTGCGTTGGCGCCGCTCATCACGTCTTCAGAAATGCCCTAGCTCCTCTCTTCCATTTTGAAATACAGAATAGCTGCATTGTTAATTACAAATCCTCCTTTTTCCTTGTCTAACCACGCTGTGGTTTATTCTCCAGGCCTGTGGATTTTTAGCACCATGCCAAGTAGACCACAAGCACCGGTGCCACTGATGAGGCCCGTCTGCTGAGGAGGCAACATGATACACAAGCTTCATACACGACTAAACCCAACATCAGACCATCCACCGTTCCCAACGAAGATCCACTGATATCCTGCTGTTGGAAAATTCCTGTGGCTGATAACAAACTAAAAGAAAAATGTAAACTCTGCTTTAAAGATGTAGATATATTTGAAATTGTGCCTTCTAGAGTCCTAGAACCACCCAAGGCACAACACAACATCATCAATCATTCATTAATCCATTCACACACACATTCACACCCTGGTGGTGATGAGCTACGATGTAGCCACAGCTGCCCTGGGGCACACTGACCGAGGCGAGGCGAGGCTGCTGTACACAGGCACCACCGGTCCCTCCGATCATCACCAGCAAGCAACGAGAGTTAAGTGTCTTGCCCAAGGACACAACCACTGTGACAGATCGAGCAGGGCTCGAACCTGCAACCTTTTAATTACGGGGCTGACATTTAACTCTTCTGCCACCCTTGCTCAAAGCTCAGCGCACCATTTTCCCTAAATCCTTTGTGCGATTCACTCTACTTATATTCCAGCTGTACTGAGTTGCTTCACCTTTCAGGTGGAGGTGACAGAAGTCCAACCAGCATCTGAGACGTGACAGGAAGTTAAATCCATTGACTTTAAAAAAGTAATGAAACAAAACCTTCACCTGTGTGAGTCTGTTGTCCAAAGGGTGTCTCAGTTGAGTTTGTCCTGCAGGTTCATGCCCTCCATGCTCCGTCTCCTCACGCTCAGGCTGACTCTCTGCTCTCATTGAGAGAGAAGGTGCCGCGGAGCGAGGGAGCAGTGGAGGGTGGTCCATGAACAGAAGGAGGGAGGCTGATGGAGGATGTGTCCCTGTTGCTCGGCCCTGCCTTCCTGCTCTGATGTCATGTGATGGAGAGGATGGAGATCTTTCACCACAAGTTAAAATAAATGTGATGAAGCCAACTGGCTGGTGGTCAGTAGGAACGGGCTCTCCATCAACACGTCTCTCTCTCTCTCACACACACACACACACACACACACACACACACACACACACACACACACACACACACACACACACACACACACACACACACACACACACACACACACACACACACACACACACACACACACACACACACACACACACACACACTTTCTCCTTACTAATCTGTTTCCTATTGGCTAAAATCTAACTGCTGGGTTATTCAGTAGCATTAGCTTGCTAATTTGGATGAGAGTGCTTGTCTTTTGTCTATTGCACATGAGAGATGTGTGTGTGTGTGTGTGTGTGTGTGTGTGCTTCTCAGCAGACCAAGAGATGTTGGCAGCTGCAGTTGTTTGGTTATGAAGACAATATGTGCAGAGCTTTGTTTACCAAGAGAAGAGCCCTCAGCTAAATGTTTTGGAAGAAAGAAAAAGCTCTGGCTTTGAAGTGTGTGTGTGTGTGTGTGTGTGTGTGTGTGTGTGTGTGTGTGTGTGTGTGTGTGTGTGTGTGTGTGTGGTGGTGGGGGGGGGGATCTGCGTGGGGAGACATACTTCTGCAGCATGTGGGAGGATGATTTAGCTTATGAACGTAGGGACGGGAAATTCACACGCCTGTGTTTTTGCGTGCGTTTGTGTGTGTGTGCGTCCACGCGTGAGACACTCCATCTGTAAAGGGGACGTTTTGTTATCATCTTGAGATGAGAAAGTTAAATAAAACTAAAATGAAAAACCCCCATTGAAAAAGATTACCTCATTTATTTGACCGTCTCATGCTGTTTCGGTTGTTTTCTGTAACTGTGTCTTCCCTTCTTCTGTGGAAGGCCGTAGCTGGACAAATGTCCGCATGTCTTATTCTTTCTGCCTGAAAAAACACCTTTGTTTTGGAAAGCTTATCTTACCTTGGTTTATGTTGGTGGGGTTTGGCATGCTTCATTTGGGCTTTGATGTTATGCAGTTTACATCCAGTTCTGATCCCAGCTGATCCAAATGCATTGAGGCAAAAACATTATGCTCGCAATTTTCTGCTTCCAACACACCTTGATTAAGTGGGTGAGTCGCAAGAGCTGTCAAGGAGGTAAATCTGCTTTTGAATCACATGTTTTTGAGCAGAAACAACTGTGAAATATTTAGGACAGGCCAAAGAAAGTGGCTCTGCTTCAATGTATGAATACAGCTGGAAGTTAAAGGACTACCTGTTCAGAACAACAATATTTGCTTTTAACAGTAAGTGAAACTCAGATGGCTCTTTCTTTGAGCACCTCCTTGTGGTTAAACCACTTTACTACCTTTGATGACAAAAAGCTTAAGTCATATTTGGGATGATTCTGTACAGCAGTTTTACAATGTAATGGAACAAACATTTAGAAAATCATATACACATTATATATCTATACAAGCAGATGTGGACAAAGTTGTTGGTACCATTCAGTCGATGAAAGAAAAACTCACAACGGTCACAGAAATAACTTGAATTGGACAAAAGTAATAAAAAATAAAAAAAAAATCATGAAATTTAACCAATGGAAGTCAGCTATTACTTTTCAACAATGTTTCATAGGAATTGTTAAAAAATAAACTAATAGAGCAGGCCATGACAAAAATAATGGTACCCTTAAAAAATACAGAAAATAATTTGACCAAAGGGACATGTTGATTCTCCTCATGCAAGTTTGGAGTTGCCATGCCCTCCTCATGCAAGAAAGAAAAAGAAAGGAAGAGAGAATGAATGAAAGAAAGAAAAAAGAAAGAAAGAAAGAAAGAAAGAAAGAAGAAAGAAAGAAAGAAAGAAAGAAAGAAAGAAAGAAAGAAAGAAAAAAGAAGAAAGAAAAAAGAAAGAAAATGAAAAAGAAAAAAAGAAAGAACCAAAGAAAGTAAGAAAAAAGAAAAAAGAAAGAAAAAGAAAGAAAGAAAGAAAAAAGAAAGAAAGAAAGAAAAAAGAATGAAAGAAAAAAGAAAGAATGAAAGAAAGAAAAAGGAAAGAAAAAACAAAAAAGAAAGAAAAAAGAGAAAGAATAAAGAGAAAGAAAGACAGAAAGAAAGACAGAAAGAAAGAAAGAAAGAAAGAAAGAAAGAAAGAAAGAAAGAAAAAACAAAGAAAGAGCAAAAAACAAAAAAGAAAAAACAAAAAAGAAAGAAAAAAGAGAAAGAATAAAGAGAAAGAATGAAGAAAGAAAGAAATGAAAGAAAAGAAAGAAAACAAGAAAGAAGGAAAACAAGAAAGAAAGAAAGAAAGAAAGAAAGAAAGAGAAAGAAAGAAAGAAAGAAAGAAAAAAGAAAGAAAAAAGAGAAAGAAAGACAGAAAGAAAGACAGAAAGAAAGAAAGAAAGAAAGAAAGAAAGAAAAAACAAAGAAAGAGCAAAAAACAAAAAAGAAAAAACAAAAAAAGAAAAAAGAGAAAGAATAAAGAGAAAGAATGAAGAAAGAAAGAAAGAAATGAAAGAAAAGAAAGAAAACAAGAAAGAAAGAAAACAAGAAAGAAAGAAAACAAGAAAAAAAGAAAGAAAGAAAGAAAGAAAGAAAGAAAGAAAGAAAGAAAGAAAGAAAGAAAGAGAAAGAAAGAAAGAAAGAAAAAAGAAAGTAAGAAAGAAAGAAAAAAAGAAAGAAAGAAAGAAAAAAGAGAAAGAATAAAGAGAAAGAAAGAAAGAAAGAAAAAACAAAGAAAAAGCAAAAAACAAACTTTTATACAGCCCATGTGTGGAGTTAGCGTGTCTTCTACATAGATGTGTGGCATTAGCATGTTCTCCCCATTTAAATATGGAGTTGCCATGTTCTCTTCATGCACGTGTGAACTTACCATTATTTCCTTATGTATGTGTGGAGTTAGCATTCTCAATGCTAGTTTCTCAATGCCGAGGCGCCTGGCCTTGCAAGACATCACCTTGCGAGGCCAGGCGCCTTGCTTACGAGGACACTGTCATTCCTTGGTCAAAGAAAACGGTTAAATGGAACAGACTTGCATCACATTACCCCAGCTTCTGCGGCAGTCACGTAAAGTCACGTGACACAAGAGATAACGTTATGTTTTATACGTATAAGTTTCAATATATATATAAAGCGATCCTTTTACTTTTTAAATTATGTATATATGACGTAGCTCTCGGCTTCTGAACCGCCATCCTTTTCAAAATACTGCGGTGTATTCTGAAATTTTTGACCAAGGCTAGGCTAGAAGACACCTCCCGTGTATCCTTGCTCAGCTAGCTAAACAGCTAACAAACGGAGAACACACGCCTCGAAATAACATGAACATTGGAACATGCCTTGGCGGTTCCTGATGACGTATCTCCCATAGGCAACCGGGGTGGGACCAAGACTTCAAGGCAAGGTTCCTTGGCATTGAGAAACACCCACGTTCTCCTCATGTAAGTGTGGATTAGCATATATGATTAATACCTGATAGTGAAGGCTAAATGAGACTATTATTAATTTATTCCAAAAGACTGACTTGTATTACAGCTGACACAAGAAAGCTGCTGTAGAAATTAAACAAATCCTCCTGGTATCAGATATTGACCTTTGCACCGACGTGACGTAATCACGTGGGTCTACACTGGTTGGCAAAACTTGTAAACAGTGAACGACATGAGTACTAAACATGGAGAAAGTAGAGCCTGGAATTGTTTTTGTTGTTGTTTTATGCTATTTTTAGCATTCCTTCTACTAGTTCAAGTCCATGTTCAGATATCAGAAGTAGCGCACCTAGTGTCACGTTTGAGCCAGGAGGAGGTCAGGACCCAAGATGCAGAAACCCAGAACGACACAAGGCAGGAGCAAAATCAAAGTAAAATCCTTTATTTAGGAAGAAAGTTCAAAATTCTAAATTCCAAAAAGAGCAGGAAGCCAAGCCTAACGTCAGTAACCCGACGGACAAAAACAAAAAGCTCTTTGATGAGCAAAACCTAGAGTTTCACGAGAAGGAACAGAACAACACTGACAATGGCAATATACCGAGAAACACTGAGAGACACAGACAGGGTTATATACACAGGGCTGGGTGATTAGGAGACAAGGAGCAGGTGCGTGGGGAATAGGGCACAGGTGAAACTAATGAACTGAGGGAAGAAGCAGAAATAAGCAGGGGAGAAAACTATATCTTAAACCTGTAAACCAAAGCTACTAAAACAACCCAAACTAAACGTAAACAATGTAGAACAAAGGCACAGGGGAATCTAAAAATAAGTAAACAAATGATCTAAGTGTACACTGAGAACTGAGGAGAGACTAGGAGAACATGAGGGAAACCTGGAGGGAGCTGGGGACTACAAGAAGCACAGGACCTGAGGAGATACCTGGAGGGAGAACAGGAGGGGGCTGGGGACCACAGGGACACAGAACATGACACCTAGGTGGGGATCATAGAGAGGTATTTACAAAGGTTTGGTTTATTTATCTAGCTTACGAACGTTAGCTTAAGTTCTCTCAGTAGCTGTTCACCGATGAAAACCACCTGCCGACTTTGCCAAAATTCGCCAGCTGGCTTTATAACATTATGTTAGAAACAGCGTTTCACTTTACATCGAAGCTGATTTTAAAAAGTATGAATCCCTACCAGTTTTTGCTGCTGGTGGGTTCAGCTGCTGCTCTCACACCGGGATGAGACAAAATCTCTTAACGACCCTAATAAATAATGTAATTTTAACTCACATGATCATTTATTGGAGCAATAATATTGTAAATAACGATCTCTCATTTCACTACAGTGGACGGCCTCGCACGTCCTTCATGGTGAGACATCCATCCATTAGGATTATCAACGTTAACACATCACATTTATCACTGTCTCTGTCTTTCTTATGAAATCTATGAACGTTAATCTTACCCAGTAAAAACATATTCACTGCAAATCCAAAGATACTTTGTGTCCGTTTGATTGACCGCTGCAGTTCATCTCTGCCCTCAGTC